GTACACATGTACAAGAGTTATAATGAGCTCAAAATGTCAGAACAAAGTGTAACGGGAGTCAAGTTGGGGCCGCTGAAGCAGAAACGAGACATCTTAACATGATGGGACATGCCTTTGCTTTTATAATTTTTGTTTTTCCCGATATATTTAACTTGACATTTATAAGTTTCATTCTGTTCCTCATATTTTGCAAAATCCTATCAACATCTTATTACTATATCATATAGCTGCCATAGGAACGATTGGTCGAAAAGTAGGTTTTTTCATGGACAACTTTTTTATTCTTTAACTCGGCATAAACTATTTTCCCCTGTGCTTCTTAGATAAGGGCAAGCCCTTATAAGCATTATAAAAAGGTTTGCAAGGGTATTAAGTCTTCGGGGTGCCGAAGATAGCCCTTGCTTCTCGTTTCTTTTGTTTTCAAGTCGAGCATTGTGCCTGCGTTTGATGGATTGCAAATCGCTGATTAATAGGATGTGGAGCACCACCATCAACGTCATTATCCGATGAAATTGAGAGTGCTTAAATAATCACCTCAAAAGGACAATAAGTCGTGGGAGAGAGTGGGCTCGAGAGACTTAGTGCAGCAGATTTATACATATAACAAGTTAGAGGTTTTAGTCGGGAGCTCCCGACTAGGGAATACCCTGAACCCCCTAATTCCAACACCAAATAAAGATAAATTGAAAAAAAAAGTTCCCTTGACAGGGCTCGAACTCGCAGCTGACTGTAATACATGCTGATGACTCTACTCAACAGAAAACAATTTTCTACAGTATATCTTATTGTACCATAGACTCTTTGTGTATTCTCAATAAGTCAATTGTATTAGTTGGGTTATTAACTTAATTTATAGCTCTGCGGTGTTAGCGGGGAGGTGGCGGTAGGTATAAAATGAAAGATACTTGATACATATTAAGTTTGGTGACTCTAGCTCTTAATATTTACCAAAATTGCTAAAAAAACAGGATGTCGATATCGATTTTTATCGATTGCTTGGAAACGGAGTATGTTATCGATTATTGGAAACAAACTCGATCTTCGCAGACACTAGGAGGACCTACATCTAAAATTTCAAATTTCATGTCGGTAGCTCTTATAGGTTCTGATATCCTTGCGTTCATACGGACGGACAGACAGACAGACGGAATATACCCTTTTTTTGCAATATACCCTTTTTACCCATTTTTAATGGGTTTAGGTATAAAAAGTTAATTAATTTATCAACGTTTTGCAAATATTTTAATATTAAAAAATATTTATTGAAACATGAGACATATTCATTAATAAGCGTTGATGCGTTGACAACAGGTCAGGACCATCTGGTGGCTGCTATATTAATAATAGAGAATGTTGCATCTCATCTTTGCAAAAGAAAATATCCGGTAGTATTTTGTGTTTGTATTAGGGTCCGTCTGCAGCCTTATCCATTTTAATTAAATGTACTTTGCCATAAGAAATGTCCAGCACAAAAAGCTGCCATACCAGACCCAATATACGCTCTATGCAGATTATAACTAAGCGGATTACAAAAGTACGCTGGAGAAAGTTTTGGGGAACGCATAGACTCACCAAAAACTGTTTGTTCCTAGTCAGAATTATACATGAACAAGTTTATACAGTCGACATAGGTGCAATCAGAGAAAGACATGATTTTAGAGATGGACTGTTCAAATATGGCGGAATATCCAAAATTAATCTGATAAAAAAAACGTAATAATTATAAACTTAATTTCGAACATTCATTTAAAATAAATATATTTTTTGCTTAAGTAATACCCTATGATCGGTTTGCAACCGACAGCTAAGATACTATATTATTTGGAAAAGTATATGAACCTTGATGTGGTTAAGTGTTTCCCTTGCTGGCAAAGCTACTTCTTACGGAATAGAAATTACAGTTAGGCAGATAGATATATGTATAGATAGACGGACAGATAATTAATATAGATGATCAGAAATCCTTAGAGTGCTAGGAATCAAAGAATGTAAGTTCTAGTGTAGTGTATCGTAGATATAATTATATCTTAAGTGCGAATGTTTGGATATTTCCGTAGCTGCTGGCAAATCCGAAAGGAATTGAATGTGCAGAACACGCTCGACGAGCATTAAACTGTTAATGTCCTTGCAGGGTATTCCAGCGCAGCACGAACCATAATAAGTAATGGGGATAATAAAATACGAAACGTTTTTGCGGCACACCCGCAACTAGATCCCTTCCCCGCCTGTGGCTTCTGCTGCAGTATGGACTAATGAACATAAAAGGTGTGGCGAGATTCATGGTATTCACTATGTTCATAGAGCATTACAAAAGAATCTACACCAACACGTAAGCTCTGCATATAGTATGGCTTGCATAAGGTGTGAATTTATAGAGTATTAATAATGAAAATTAGTTATTCCTGCATGGATATTGTGATAAAGTGGCGAAAGGTTATTTCGGCGGTTGTTACCATTATTTTAACTAGCATAGCATAGCGACTGTTTGAATTATTGTTATATGTGGCAAGCAACTTGCATCTAGCAATTTGACATACAACTGAGGATTAAAAAGAGCAAGTCATGGCAATCTTTTCGCAGAATTATAATATAATAAAACATTTAGCTTAAGGCACTAAGTTTTACAATTTATTACAATAAAAAGTCCCAAATTAATATCTCTTTCTATTAAATTTATAAAGAATTTTTGATAGTTTAAATACAGCAATAATTAATTAATGAAAAACCCAACTATTTTAAATGACTTCTAAAGTAATTAATTAAGTAAAACCAAATTTATATTAAGATTATCTAAATCTTCTAAAACATTATGCACATGGGTATTTCAAAGACCATACAAAAATTTAAAAAAAATACGATATAATCATTTGTTGGGTTCTCTGTTCTTTATAGAGACTCAGTTTCACATCATATACACGCATACACGATACGCCTTTTAATGTACCGAAAATACCGAAATTTTCTGGAAACTTTGAGTTTCTTTTCTTTCCACCAGCCATATTACACAATCTCAGAATCTAGTTGAACTGACTTTTAATTTAATTTTGTCTCAATTTTCCTGCTAATAAAAACTTCAAGTTCTTGCTTAAATTGAAAGACTAACCAAGGATTAGAAAATGTAATTTTTATTTTTGCATATCTATACCGAAATAATTGCTTCCAGTACCTTGGGCCTACTGAAATGAAAACTTCTTTGTCTCTAAGGGAAATTTAATAAATCAAAAAATGGGACGAGTCAAGGTTAGTGACAGAGTCAGGGAATGAATCATACACACAGCTGACGAAGACGACAGGGACATCATATTGCATCAAAAAGTAGACAAACGATTAATTATAATTTTGAGGTACATATACAGGCATTCACATGTACGCTTATACAGAGAAAAAGCTGGTGCATGCAAAATGTGGCTGTAAATGGCAGCTGCCTGACAAAAACATGTCTTGTATGCTTAGCCAGCAAAGATGGCCACTGATTGAATCAGTGAGAAAGTTGCTCCAGATAAAAAAACATGTTCAGCAAACGATTATAAAATCATCATTTATCACATTGTGTCAAATTCTCCGCCAGACGGCTTGGCGACAGTCTGATGAGCCTGATCTGCAAGCTCTGGCCTAACCTCTAGCCGACGCTTGGCGCTCCTAACTGGTGTATCTATGCATGAAAATTAAGATGTGTCGTCAAGTGATATAAAGACAACTAGCGGGTATAAGCCGACCTTGCCCGAGGCACGTATGCTATAAAATATAAGTTCTAAAAAAGTTTTAAAAATGATTTTGTAACTGAGTGGACGGTGACAAACAAATTTCATACAAACGTATTTTCACCAAGGTGGGATGGATTTTCTAAAAATTTCTATGAAAATGAGTTTGAGGCCGATTGCATGGTAAACAAAAATGTTTCACACAAACATTTTTATTACCCACTGTTGTTGGTGGAATTTCCAAAATGGCTGAAACACGTATTTATTAAGTTCTTATGTAGAGTTCTGAAAATATGATGCTGATGAAGAATATATATACTTTATGGGGTCGGAGATGTTTCCTTCTGCCTGTTACATAAATTTGCACAAAAACATTATACCCTTTATATCCATATTTAATGGGTCCAGGGTATACAAATATTGAAAACGAAATCTCTTGGATAACCAAATACAATAGCATACTTTCCTTAGATTTATCATTTTAACCAAAAATTTCATGGTGCCCAGAATTTGAATCCAACGGATGCTGAACTAAAGCTGTTGTCGATACTGGAGCTAAATACCTACCTGGAAGCAGAGCTGTGTTAGCGAACCTGTAATGTTTTCGCCATGGCTTATTTTTTTCTTTTGGCTTAAGTTTGTATTGGGCAATTACGTTTTTTGAGCGGGCTTTGTTCCGATTATAACAAATTCAATTTTCGCGCCAACATTTTGAACACAACTGAAACTGAACATCTTTTTTAGTCAAGTCAGACCCAGCATGATTCGGCGGGAAATTGATACCTAGGGTGGGCTTCTTCAATGTTGTTTCGTCATGCAATTAAAAAAAAAAATTGTTAATGTTTTCTGAGCAATCTAAAGAACAGCCAAACCACCAGCTTAGCATTATTTTTAAACGTGTATCGACTACTTTTATTATGCGAGTTATTTCTGAGTGTTAAACTAAACTCTGAGCCAATATTTTGTATATGAGTCGGCGCCGTGTCTACTAATATATACCGACTCAGCTTTAATGGTTATTCATAAATGTTTAATAATATCCCATTACAGAATCTGAGATAAGACAAACTAAAGCGAATCGATGTTGGAATGTGCAAATTGCTTATACATATGTATATAAAATGTTTCTTTATATTCAACATTGTTGATATAGATAAAGATACATTTTTATCTGATATAACGAATTTCAACTTAATAAAAATGAAAAATGTTGTTTAACTTTTTATTTGAGTAAAGCTTATAAATAAATTTATTGGATTATATATGCTTACAAATCTCAACATATTTCACTTTTTGTTGTACATTTTCAATAATGTCGATTGAAATATTTTCTCAACATGAAATATGTAGAAAAATTATGCATTTTTAGCAATAGTTACGGCATAATACAATTGGTTTGCCTTGGGCAATATCATTAGGCTGTGATTGAAGCTAATGATGTTGCCCCAGACAACAACAGAGGCGCCACTGACGCCCACGCCGTTGTTGCTAACACCGACAGCCGCTACAGCATCTGCCCTGTTGCCATGTCCAAAGGTTGCCCTTGATTTGCTTATGCTCGCGCTGATGTTGTTTGTGTTGCTGATTACTGCTGGTGCTATAGGTATATGTGTGGCGGTGTGGTTTCCCAGTTTCGTTGCCTGCTGCGACAGCGGCCTGCACAGCATAACCGCTTGGCCCCCAGTCTGATCCTGGCCCATATGATAAAGTGCATGCTATATGGGATCCGGCTGAAACACACCGAGTAAAAGAGGAAGGAGAGAGGTAAGTAAGACGGCATAAGTAATTGTGTGTTTTATGATTATTTGCTGAACTGCTGGCGATAAGACCTGAGCGGCATATGTTGTAGTTCCCCTTAACAACTCACACAGTGCGTATTTCGATTTAAGGCAAGGCTCAATTGAACCTATTGTTGAATTAAACAATTCTTCTTTCTACTCAAAAACTTACCGATAATTGTTCTTGATAGAGACAATTAAGACAGTTTACTATAAATATGGTTAAAAGGTTAGGCCGAATCGTAAGAAATACAATGAGAGTTAAACCGACTGGCCGACTACTGTGGGTAAATCTAGTTAAAACTATCTTTGAAGAAGAAAATAAAATATTGGTTTGGGATGATTTGTGTGCTAAACAAGCTTTAGATCTCTATTTTTCATTTATGTATTTATTTCTTTTCTAACAGGCAGGTAAAAGGAATGCAAACTCCTGCGAGAACAAATGTGCTTCAATGCTTAAGTGCCTGGATATTGATTTGTTATTGTTGTCGCATTGTTGTTTTGCAGTTGCATTATCTCTGACTGTCTCGCTGATGTGCCTCAAGTGCTGTCTACTTTTGTTTTAAGCTAAGACATGAATGTGTGTGTGAGGGTGGATGCCGTTTTTATGAAAAGTTTTACGTTTCACTCTTCTGCATATTGAACAATTCGGCAAAGTTCTGTACGTGATTAAGGACTTGTGCACGTATTTGCAGAAACATTTACAAAAAAAAAAAAAAACAAAGTGCCATTCGAAGTACCCGAACATTTGTCTTTCAATTTCACAGCTGACAATTGTCAACGAAGAGCTTTTAAATTTTCAGTTGACAATGTTATTTAATTTGACAAGCTTTTATTTTCAAGGTGTCAAAATATCAGCCAATTTGTGGAACGAAACAAATGAGTTATACAATTTTATTTGTGCCAAAGCTTTCTATTTAATGAAAATTGACAAAACTATTTTTTTGCATACTAGGTACTAATATTTCAGAAAGTTTACTAAGAGAAGATGATTTGGTTTTGGTAGCAATAACACACAGTCGGGTATTAAAGTGAAAGTAGAGTCACATCGACTTTATCAAAATACTCTCTATATAAACTATATGAAATTTGTCTTCTTCTCGTTTAAATTTGACACCAAAAAGAGACAATGTACGACTATAACATAGGTAAGGCATTAATGAGTTCGCGAAATTGTCGAGTAAGATCGAAAAATTTGAGAAAACTTTAAGTAAGCGCTTTGAAAACAAGAATCAAATTCAATTAAAGTTTAAGAGAAGGCAAAGCAAAACAAGACAGAAATAGAAGGCAGGGCTATCTTCGGTACACTGACTATTTAATACCCTTGCAGGCCCAACCTTTCCATAATGCTTATAGTGCTTTACCCGTGTCTCAGAAGCGCAGGGAAAATAGTTAATGCCAAGTATGGTAGTGATATTTAGAAAAACAAACATTTTTACATACAACTTAATTTTCGACCGATCGTTCTGTGGCATCGTATGGCATCTATAACATATAGTACACCGATATTGATGGTATTATGCATATATATGAAACGCAGAGTCAAGATGTCTTGATAAACAGAAAAGTTTTGAATGCAAGAAAATAACTTTTGACCGATCGTTCCTAAGACCAAATCGGTTGCATGAATACGATGATTTAGCACGAAATGGTTTCCTTTCCGAAAGGAACGGCGGAGCCTTTTGGTAGCTGGTGAATGCAAAATGAGAGGATTACAATTGAAAATTGCAACCTCTAAAGTAGGGCAATATGGATAAAGGAGGGGACCTGGCCAAATTAGCAGTTAGGTAATAGTTAACAAATACAAGATCAAGCGTTCTATTCAAAAAGAAATATACATTCTGGAGAAATCAATTATCTGGTCGATGCATACTGGGCAAGACCAATGTAAGCCGCCGCAGCCCTTCTTGGCAATTGCAGCGACCTTATTGCAATCACGCCCAGTGAGACCTCACACAGGTCTGTGTAAGGTTTCTTAGAGCACGACATATTTTCTACCGGCGTTAAAAGTTAAGCAGAAGTTGCGAGAGCGCAGAGCGAAATTAAACACGGCTTACAAAAAAGAGCAAGCAAACGCTGAAATAAATATTCGTACACAAAATAATGTTTGAAGCGAAAGGCAACATTAAAAATAACTGTACAGATTTGCAAACTGAAGAAAACTGATTTTTATACCCTGACCCCATTAAAAATGGGTATAAGGGTATATTGTATTTGTGCGAAAGCCAAATGTATGTAATAGGCAGCAGGAAGCATTTCCGACCCCATAAAGTATATATATTCTTGAACAGCAACAATAGCGATCTAGCCATGTCCGTCTGTCTGCCCGTCCGTCCGTCCGTCCGTATGTATGAACGCAAGGATCTCAGAACCTATAAGAGCTAGAGACTTGAAAGATGTAGATGCTCCTGGCACCCGCGCAGATCGAATTTGTTTCCGATAATCGATAACTTACTCCGTTTCCAAGCAATCGATAAAAATCGATATCGATATCCTATTTTTTCACCAAACTTGACATATAGCTTCTAAAATAGAATATATATATATGCATTTGATGTTGGAAGACTAGAACCTCTTACATTTCTAACACATTAGAATTCCTTTCTAGAAAACCAGCTAGTAAGTTGTTAAAACGCCTTCTGTTTGGTTAAGACTTCGTTGAAGGATACCCAAATTTTAATCAATTCCAATAATTCCGTATTCTAGAAGATTTTATGCCCGTTTTTTTAAGCTTCTATTACATGGTTAATGGATTATATCCCCGTAGGGATAGAAAATAAAACAAGAAATTATATGTAAATAACCGTGAAAATTGGTTTTGTAATGTTGTTCTTTCTGTATGATTTACCTCTTCAGATTTTTCCATCCGTCTGCAACGCCAGAACTTTTAATTTCTTATATCTGCCAGTTTTTGTTGCTTTTATCCTTTTTTTTTTGATAATAATCCTCAGCGACCTTGCTGGCTGCTGTTGTTGATTTTATCAAGGGGCGTCCATAGTCATGCCGGTCTACAGCAATATCAGCTGTAATAAATCCTTTAATTTAGCGTGTAGTCTTTTGTTTGTTTTATTTTTCTTTATATTTATTTATTTCTCTCTTTGGTTTTTTTTAGGTAAATACACACACTTATAATAACACAAGCTCATGTTTATTGGACTACATCGAATTTTTCGCTACTGAATTAATTTAATACTTGCTTTACTTTTTTTCAATTGCCCACTTTAACTTGAGCTGCTGGCCTTCTCTTTCATTTGTTGGCAATAGACGCTTGGTAACTGTTAGCTATTCACAGATAGCCACACATGAAAAGCACGCACGCACACAGAGAGGCAGCTGCACAGAGAATCTGCAGCGACTCATTGGTGTCCACGACGCACGAATGAATTCCCACGACTGAAGTCGAACTCTTGGCCCATTAACTTCGCTGCTGGCTGCCAGAGCAGCAGCTACTGCTATGTGGATTAAGCTTCAGACAGAGAGAGAGAGCGCGAGAAAGAGAGTAATACAATGGCGGAGAGCGTGCACGCATATCTGGAAAATGTAACTTATGCTACATCAGTGTTGCCAATTCCGATTTCTTCCCGACAGATGTGGCTTTTTTGAAAGTCTGATTTCGAAAAAAATGTAAGACAGCGGGTACCGGGAATTCTGGCTTTTTAAAAATTAGATTAACTTGTAATTCGCGTTTACTTTTTATAAAATAATTTAAAACTAATAAAGATGTGCCTAAAATTGAAATAAGCGAAGTTGGCATCATTAGAAGGAAAGCGTGAAGTTGGCATGCTATTTTCAAATTGCTTAGTGCAATTTACTCGCGGCTCACACCACTAAGGCGGTGAATTTCATAAATTGATAAACTTTTGACTTGTTAAATGTCGAAAACTGCTTATAAGCAATAAGTGCGCGATGTTTGGCTGCAGGTTTCCGAGTTTAAAAGCTGGCTCCGCAAGGATGTTACTGACGATACGCGGGCTTATTACAGCTATTGCAACAGGTAAATATCAGCCAAGTTATCCCATATAAAAGCACATGCAGCCACAAAAAACAATTAAGTATGGATCACTTGAGCAGTTTGTGTGAAATGAATTTCGATGACAGCAGCACGGCTAGCCCAATAAAAAATGCGTGGAACCATATGCACACATATAATAAAAAATGTTTTGGCTCCTCATTTCTAAGAGGATCTGCAAAAAGATATGGATGATGCCAAGTTAAGTTTGCTGTTGGCTAAAAAAACTGTCAAAAATTATTTGCATTTGCAGATGAGGATACAAATTTAGATGATGTGACTAATATGTTAGAATTATATACTTTAATTAAATTTAATTACAAAAAGTTTTGAATTTTTTGAATATTCTATTTCTTTTATTGAAAATATCAATCAATAATACTATTTAAATTTCAGCTTTTTTAAACAACATTCGACTTTTTTCCGCTTTTTTTAAGCAGATCTAGCTCTTAGGTTGCTCAATAAATGGCAACACTGTTTTGCATGGTGAACTTTCGCTCTTACAGTCCTCTTTTATAGCTCGTAAGAGGTGTTTAAGCAGTGGCTCATTTGTTCGCCTCTCTCCCTTACGAGCTGATTTCTGCAGTTTTTTCTCTCTTAGAGCAGGTAATATTAAAGGGCGTCGGGTAGTGACCCTTGAAGAACCTGTATAGATTAAAGGAAAGCGCATAAAATAAAATAAAAATACTGGAATTTCAAATGTATTATTTACAAGCGTTTTCCGCCATTTTATCACTGTTGTGAGTGGAATATCCCAAATCGTTAATACAAAAATTCATTAAATTCTTATGTAGAACTTTGCAAATAAGCTTGAAACAATCGGTAATAAATTAAATCTGCACCGAAAAATTCTTAGAATCGCACTTTTTATGGAGAATGCTTTGATTCTGAGAAAAATGTGAAACACGTCCCAAATGATTCTTCACATAGATCCTTGGAAATGAATTTACGCGCGAAGCGACACCCACCAAATCTTTGACCCGCATTTCCACCAAGGAGGAATGGACTTTTCGAAAAGCGTGAAGCACCCCTTAAATGAATTTTAATTAAGCTATTTGAAAAAATGTCCTTAACTGTCAGTATATGTTGCAATGAACAATTGGCAATCGTTTAGATACTACGATGTGGAAATGTAGTTTAGTATGATTGTTCGTAACTTATTGTATTCTTTTAATTACTGTTTATAGTTAAGCCTAAATCGGACCAGTACAATTTATTAATATATCTTGACCAATTTGGGTATTTTTCTCCGTTTTTATCGATTCTTTTTATTATTAAATTAATCATTTCCGAGCTTAACTATTCTCAAAGGCCTGGGTATCAAAATTTCAGTGGGCAGAAGTCTATCTCGCTATTTTCGCTTTGGTTTACTATGCTTTAAAGTTCACTCTCAAAATAGAAAAATGATTATGATAAATGGCTCATGGTACATCAGCCCAATGCAGACCTTAAGCCTTACTCACTCAAATGACTGATTTATGGCGTACAAATTTGTTAACCCAAAATGAGACCGAAATCGGTGTAAGGAAAATCAGAACACAAATTTATTTTCATATTTGAAATTAATGCTGAGAACAGCCCATCATAGCAGGCAGCCCTAAGTGGACAGCGGTGTGGAGCGAAAAGGTCTCTGTGCAAGAGTGCGGCCAAGAAATTTAGACATGGAAATTTTACGTGCAATTGAAGTTTCCATCCGCAAATTGTCGCTGGCCTATAGCGAAAATTCTGCAGAAAGCTTCTGGGCCGCAAAATGATACTTTGCCATTTGCTACATATTGGAAAATGCTTGCCGCCAATGCAGAGCCCAGACTAATATCTTAAGTCCCCACTATATTTGTTGATTATCTAAGTTGTTTGTTTCCTCATTGCAGCTTCATAAAATATTCAACTTGAGGAATTTACCATAGCTAGGCCGCGCAGTGGCTACCAGGCTGAATCAGGCTGGACGCATTATATTAAAATAAAAATTAAAAAGTGTTTTATATTTATTAACAAATGAATCAGCTACAGTTAATAGACGCCCGGCATGAGTAAAAGGGAAGCCGGCAAGAATCGAAACTGCATTTGTATAAGTTTCAATTTTTTAACACTGTTCATTAAGCAACATGTTTACAAATGCTCTTCTCTGTATAATTTGTTATATTATAAACATTTTTTTGGATTTATTTAGAAATGCTACTCAAAACTCAACATTTTCTAGACTAGTAAGTTTCTCTTTGGAAAAAAAGGAAATTTAAATAGAAATACCACCAGTCAGTAGAAAAAGTAATTGAATTTATAGTTAGAATGTCAACAATGCATATTTAAAATACAAATTTATCGACGGCCATTTCCCAACTATTAGAGTATGCAATAAATCAGCAAATATCGTGATTATTATTATGATTTACAATATCGCAATGGCAAACACCCCGCTACCCAAGGCCATATATATGCCACTATATATATATATACTAATGTATTTACTTCTAGCCCCAACGACATACGACATGTGTAATATTTACAGCGACAGCAATTGAGAAATATAGCATATGAAAATGAGTCAAACGCGTCTGGCGACGTACAACGACTAAAAAAGGGAAGCTTGTGGGTAGTGGTAAGGGGTGCGCAAAATATGCAAAAAACTGCGACCGAATAGAATAGAGAATTCGGAGCCCAATATTGACTAGCGTTTCCGCTGGAGCATTCGCGTTGCCTTTGCTTATTGGAGGACACTGCTCCTTTTACGGCATTTCTGAGCAGCTTCACTTCCGATTGTAACAGCCGGAAATTGCAACAGAAATACGTTCCACGCTAACAGTCACACTGTGCGAATGCAATACTCACACAATAACATGCCGGCATAAGTATGGCATTTGATGTGATTTTGGGATTTGGTCAGGTAGAGCTAGTGTCTGCCCAGCAGAACATCCAAATCTCAAATGCCCGTCGCATTTACATATTTTCAAACAGCGAAAGAAGGAAGAAATATTTTGGGCTGGAAAGTCCGAAGCTATTGTTAAAGAAACACCTTATGGCTACTGGTGCTCCCAAAAAACTATGTTTTCTGTATGTTATTAGATCGTTACACGATTTTTAGTGATATAAAGTTAGTATTAAAATATATGCACAGATGAGGACTTTAAAAAAGAGAGACAGAGAATTAAGTACATACCTGAACCATAACTTAACTTTATTAACTTGAGACTAAATATTTAATAAGGTGACTTTAGGTCCTAGGTTTTATATTGTTTAAATATATTTATTTTCCGAGAAAATTAAATGACTTATCTTAGACAATTCGATAGACATTAGCGTGTAAAACAACCAATTTGTAGGTGCATTTTGATTTCTAAGTATAAAACTCTGCTCCTCAGAACACCAACAATTATCTGAATATGTTTGTTAAACAGCAAATCAAGATGCCAGGTCCATAATAATAGTCTAGTCCCCAAACAATATACAACAATGCGACAAATGCTCAGCGGTATGCTCAAAAGAAATTGACATAATTAAAATTATAGTAGAGCAGCCTCATGGGCGGATGAGGCCAAACAGGCAGGACCATGTCGCTACCAAGTTGAGCTTTGCTAATAAATGACCTCCCACAAAAAAAAAACGGAATAGAAGGAAACGCCACAAGTAATTGTAAATGGGTCGGGAGCACAACGCAGAAGGACAACCGTGTAAACTTGGTTGTTTTCGTTAAGTCGTCAGCATAAATGTTTTATTAAATAATTAAAAGAAAGACGTACGCATGCAAGTAGGCCGCGATATTTTTAAGCATTTGCTTTGCCGCGTTGCGTATACGATGCGTTGCTCACACACACACAAGATGTGTGTCTGAATTGTGTCTGAATTGTGTCACTTTCTCTTTACCTCCCATGTCATAGCTAATCAAATATAACTCTAGCATTGAAAGCCCGCGTTGTCGTTTTCGTCTCGGCTGGTGTTGGTGACACTTATGAATTATTCAGTGCATGTTCTATGATCTTTACTTTTCTCTTGCCTATGTGGCGGCGGCAGCTGCCTGGCTTTCTTAGCCACGTCGAAAATATAATAC